ATATGGAATTGCACAACATCGTAATCAGATCCCAATATACCCCATACTCAATCTACTTCAGAGGGCTGTACCCTAAACCCTGAGTTCTAGACCATGATAGAGGCCCAAACAGCTGCTGGATTGGCAGACCAAGAGCATCACGATTTAGGGATGTTATCCCCCACTAAAAAGAATTTCCTTTGGCAAGAATGGAGAAGAGAATGGAAACTGCTGTTTAGGGGTTTGCGTTTAGGGATATTGTCCCACACATAGAGAACCAAATGGAGAAGGAAATGGAACATGAAATGGAATCTGGGATGATAGAGGGGATTATCGGGATTAGGGGTTTCCCAAAGTTTGGCGTATCCTTTTTTGGGGGTCCCCAGAACAAAGATCACACTGTAGTAGTTTAAGGTCTATGTTGAGATCCCTTTTTAATGGAACCATGGGAACTGGCATGTGTGTCAGGCGGGCATTAGAGATTTTCGATTTTGGGGCCGTTCTCAAAACCTAAGGGTCCAAGTACCGAATAATCATATATTTACCCAAAACCAACACTATAATTACTATTGCCTAATACCTAATTGTTGGGTACATGGAATCCTTGGGAAAACTACCGGTCTCTGTTCGGGCCCTGTCATGTGGCGTTCTATCACTCTGGGCTCTGTAGGGTCGTGGGGCTGTGGTTGTATTTTATCGGGCCTTGGGAACCTGTCATACGTGCGGATGTTACAGGGAGTAATCAATTAAGGGCTTTCCACGAAAGATTGCATCAGGGGGATGTTGAGAAACTGTCATTTCAAACCCTTATTCCCCCAGATATTATAGTAGTTTCCCTTTTCTTTTCCATTATCCCGATATAACCCCAATATATTCCCGTGTGAGGACTGAGGCTCACAAGCCGGACAACGGTGTCCAACGAGGAGATCTCTGCAATGCAGCAGAAGCCCTCAGAAAACGCTTGTCGCACCTGTTCAGCCCTTGCACCGACTTAGCCAGTACTCGGAGTACTTCTGATTTTGGAGCGTTAGCTGTTGTCATGCCCAATGTTTCGTGATAACCCCCTAGGAGGCCTCAGTGCCCCAAGACTATGTGGCCCTAACACGTACCTAAACCCTAGAAGTAGATGAAATAATAGCCCAAAACATTTAAAAGTAGCCCAAAAGGCCATTATTCTACATACTTTTGGGGTTCAGGTAGTCGCCCTGCCTCGCTTTGATCAATATGGAAGCCCAAGGCAAAAGCCCAAAATCAGAAATCCTAAGCCTGCACGTCCCTAAGGGTCCAACTGCCCTTTCAATGCGAACTCAGGCTCAGCTGGAGGATCTTCAGATCTCAGAAGCCTCGATAGAGGCCAGCAAGTTGCTTTTGGCTTATTGGAGCACAGCTGGTTACCTTCATGGGGGGTTTTCAAAATGGAGGTCTCTTTTGGTGTCTCTGCGGATATACGAAGGGTTGCAAAAGGAGTATAGGGATCCTGCTGGAGTCTCAAAATCGCACTCAATTTTTCCTGTCAGGTACATCTTCCTAGTCCTCATGTCAGCTGAGGTGTACATGGTGCAGGCTTCGAACTATCTTTGGCTCGATGCTGATTGATGAGTGTCCAAAATCATAGGTGGCTCTATAAGGCGGCTATCCGAGGCGCAGAGCATTTTCCAGGCGTTCTACTACTTTAAAGCAAGCAGGACATATTCATACTGTTTGTTCCTCCTTGACACAAAACATGTGTTCACATTAAGTACGGTCCCCCCATAATGCAGCATCGAACTGAAAAAGAATTTGGGTATCGTCTGGAATATAGGGATGGTATAATGAGGGCATTTTGGTAACACAACCTCCCCCTGCCACAACTAAACTGTCTTCATGAGTATCATATGAGCTACTGTTAAGATTAGCCTTCTTACGGACCCTTAGCCTAACGGTGGAAATAGGGGTCCTTCTAGTAGTTTAGTATAGTCCCTACTCTTGCGAGTCCATGTCCATTTGATCATGAAATTAGATAGAAATATTGACCCAAAACCCCCAAAACCCGGAACCCTAAACCCCAAAACCCTAAACCCAAATTGACTGTAGCTCTTACGACACTTATATAGCGCTTAACCCTAAACTTTATATAGCCCAGCTACTTCCAGGCCGCTGAGGCTCCAGATTTCTCAGCCATGGATGTCGGGACGAACCTTCGGCTTGCTAATGACACTCCCGTGACCCCGAATGATAGGGCTCTAGGTCCCAAATACTATACTTGGGGGGTCAGGGAGACTTAGTAAGGGGGATAACTATAGTAGGGTTATTATATGGGTTATAGGGGTTGGTAAATACTTAGTAAGTCCCCTGACCCTCCAAGTAATGTGAATGGTATCTGGGACCTAAAGCCCCATTAGTTCTGTCCTTTGACCCTGATAGGTTCACTTGGTGTGGGCTCTCTTGAGAGAGCTTCTAGGGGACGTATATGCAGGTATATGTATATATGTATATATATATATATAACGTTTATGTATATACGTACTTATACATATATACATATATGGGTATACAGGGGATATATGTAGGGCTCGAAGCCTCCAGCTCAGGGTTTCCACACATTTGGTTTCCAAACAGGCACTCGAGTTACTGATCCTCATTCAAAGGGGACCCGAAGATATGGCCCCTGATGGTTGGTACTTAGGCCCCAACAGAGGGTACGACGAGGATGTAGGTTCTACTGTAGCCTCTGGAGAGCTGAGTAAGCCACCAATGTTTTTAGAAGCTTGAGATAGAGTTGGGAAGTATTAGGATACCTTTCGAGAAGAAGCCGTTGAAAGGTGTGTTTTGGGCACTGCTTGGGCATACAGATCTCGCAATGCGGCTCAGTGCTTCTCCCATGAGAAGAACTGACTGCAATTCTGGTCCCCCAAACAGCTCGTAACACCTGCAAAATCTAAAATCTGGAAGCCCGCCCGCCTGAGGAATGTCAAAGCTCAAGCATACTACTCGCGGATCAATCACGTCTTGAGGCGCACCAAGCATATCTGAAGTACATGCTCTTGAGGTGATACGGCTCCATATAGCAAACAAAGGCATGTGAACTTCAAGCTCAGATTCTCGATGTACCCTGCAGATGTCGGGAAGTGTTGTCAATTCGAGCTGCGCAGGATGCGGGGAGTTGACTGGGTATGGCCCAAATGGCAGCTTAGTTTCATATGTGAGGCATGTGAGTTTGAGAGCTTCTTGCAAGACAGTTCCTTACATCCTCTCACATCTTGATACAAGCTTCCAGCCCAAGAGCTCCAAGTCTCGGTGAGGCTCGGCGGGGCAAACAGGCAGTCATTTCGAACAGTCTAGTTGACATATGTAGCTCATTGTGACTTGGTTTCCAAGCCAAGCGTCCCAAAGCCTGAAAATCAGGGTCCCTCTTGCATATCACCTTCTTCGTCAGGACCCCAGAAGCGATAACCCAACATGAGGTGAATTAGCGGAACCACCACACCCCTACGGCACGTTGACACCTGTGAATCCATAACCTTACTGTTGCTGAATCTTTGCAAACAGTGTAGCTCAAGCCTTGACCCCTCTACCTTTCGCCTAGATCCTTGTACCACAGGATCACAACTCTTTGGCCCTTGGGCAACACCTTCTAAGCACCGAAAAACGGATCTTGTGAACTAATACGCGCACCATATTTTCTCATATAGTACTTCCTAATGGGACCGTATGTTGCCCATTGGACCCCATGAGATAATTTCAGCTTCTGAACTAAGACCTGCGCGTCTAGACCTACATCCTGAGCAGAGATTTCGAAGTTACTCGCCGCAGGCACAGCGATGGCCTGGACGTGCTAGAGGCAGTGTAGCTTTCCCTAAGGGTCCAAGGCCTCAAATAAGAGGGCATTAGGGCCCAAATACTATACTAGGCATGGTATTTGGGCTCTAAACCCTATTATTAGGTCCTTGGACTCCAGGGTTTGTTTTGGAAGTTCATCTAATACGTAAGCTTCCCAAGATTAGGTGTGCTGTTGCCGGCGGATCTCTGGATTTGCGGTCCTATAGTCACTCTTAAGGAGAATATCGGGTGTATGGGGATCTCATTTTGACTTGCCCGAAGCCATATTCTATCTACTTCAGGGGGACTATAATGATGTGTTTAGGATGTAGCCTAAACCCTAAGCCCTAAACCCTAAACTCTAAATCCTAAACCCTAAACCCACTACGTAGCTAGACCACTGGGAGGCCACTGCTTTTGCATCCTTAGTTTCGATGCGCCAGTATTCCTTCTGAGGGTTCTGGAGAAATCCACAGAAGAGCCTCTGACTACACTGGCTTGCTGTTAAGGAATGTAACTTAAGTTACTACATTGGGAAAACCATAGCAATTACTCTATATATATATATATGTATGCCAACTATGGTAACTTCACTTAAGTTCCTTAACAGCAACCCAGTAAAAGAGGTTGAGAGGAAAGGATGCTGTGCAAGGGCGGGACATGGCGTTCTTGTTGCGATTTCTTATAAACATCAAGAACAGGATGCCTTTTGTCCCGTTTTCCTTAGGAGGGTAGCTGTGAAATTGTGTAGAGGCTTGAGGGAGCTACTCACTCAAAAGAAGAGACTCTGTGGAAATGTCCCGTCAAACGCAGAAACGGTCGCTTGTTGGGCCCTTGCTACAGAGACTCCCACTACTAGCAGTACCTTCCCAAACAACGTGAACTCACTGTAGGCCTTTTGAAAGGACAGTACCAGCAGAACAGTATACCCCTTACACCCCTTAAGTTTCAGAAGCTGATATTTGTGTGTGTAGGTCATGGCATACCAGAGGTTCTGCTAGCAGGTCTTCTGTTGGGGTGAATGCGCCAGAAAGCACGGGAATCAGTAATATCAGGATGAATACTTTCACGCCCCGGCCTGGGATACAGTCCTCACAGTGTAGCAGGCCCAATCTTGCAGTGGTAGTGAGAACCGCAATTGAAGCATCCTTTTCTTCGCAATTATAGGGTCGGTCGCAGTAGCCAATTCTTATTTATGCCGAGAAGATTTCATCCTACAGCAGGTTTTCCGCGAGGGCCTGCGGTTTGCAGGCTCCATCGGCGCCCTGGATGAGGCGAGGGTTACCTACAGCTTTTACGGTGGTTTGAGCCTAGGACCTCGAGTTCCATAGGTTTCTGGACTTTAGCATCCCCAGTACTACTCAAAATCTCTTTTACGGTTATTATACCATCACACGACGATTACGGTTACGATTGCAACGACTATCACTCTCACTATGATGCTTTCCTTATTCTTATTATGACACACTATTTCCATTACTACTATTACGAATAGGGGCGGACAAGGGTTGTGGTCTTCAAGTTCTAAGCCACATTTGCACACCACAAGTTTTCCAGACCAACTGCAGTTGCAAAATAGCTCCCACCATTAGAATGGTTAGATTGAAGTAAGGATAGGCCCGCTATGGCGTCACCATCTCCATTTCTTGGAAAATCAATGAAGGGGAGATGAACACAATAACGTTCAAGAAAGCACATTTCCGAGACTAGGCCCGAGCCCGTGTCAGCCGAGCCTAGACCGCGACGTCCCCTGAGCTAAAGATTCACTCTGACTCCGACTGGGGGAACGCCTAGAAGTACACTTCTGCCTTCTTGCTACTGCACATGATTGTTATTATTGTTATTATTATTGTCATGATTGTTATTCTTATTATTATTACTGTTATTGTTGTTGTTATTATTATTCGTATTGATATTATTGTATTTTCTAATTATTACCACTCCAAGCCATTGAAATTGGGCGGGTGAGAAGGAGCACAAAACACGAACGGAATTGAATAGTAAGAGTGTTGAGGCGTCAAGATTCTATAGCCGCTACATCTCTCACACAGAGCACCTACAGTCCCCCTTAAGTAAATAGAATATGGGATATATGGGGATCTCATTATAATATACCCAAACCCATATCCTGTCTACGTAAGGGGGACTATAAATCTATACGACATCTATTGTAGCAAAGGGAAGGGGTCGAAACTTGTAGTTTGCAACATCAGCCACTAGCCCCTTGCCGCATCGCTACGGGTGCAGTGTGGGAAAATGGGCAAGACCTCCTAAGACGAGCAAAAAGCCCAATTGTACTCGTGCGGCCACGCAAAAACGCTTTAGCCTGCCCCTTGGTCGAATTAGGGTTGCAAAATAATTGCTGGCTAAAGGCCCTAAGGAATCCAAGGCATATAAGTGCGTGTGTATGTGTATGTGTATATATATATATATAATGTGGATTGGTTCCCGCTTTGGGTGCAGTTTGCTCCCAGCCTTTTCTCAGAAATATCCTCGTGCAAGGGAATTGTACAATCTTAGATGCATTGCCTATGTCTAACCTGCGAGCTTTAACTTGCGCATGGCTTGCAGTTAGTTGGGATTCTGGATGTGCAGGGTTGTCAAAGTATGTTCCCTTTGTTGGGGTGTCGCTTTTTACCTCTAAGATGGGTTGCTTGATATTCGGGATGCCTAAGACGTGGCCTAAGTGGCCCTTATTTGACAGCTTTCTCACGTTGTTGCTAAAGCCGTGGCACTTATTGTATGCTTACCTTCACAAGACACGGCGGGGCCCCTAAAGTACATAATTTACCCCGTAAGTCCCATCTAGCTAATAGGACTTGTAATCACGCTTCTCTTTTTGTCCCTCTTCAACCCCACTATATCCCAACTTACAACTTTGAGGCCCGTACTCTCATGCGAAACACCATTTGAGGGCTGTCCCTGGAACTGAACCCGTCTGCTAAATCCTGCACCCTTGAACCCTTAAGCCCAAAACCCCTACACCCTAAACCCTTACGCCCTAAACCCCAAACCCTAAACCCTAAGCCCTTAAACCCCTAAACCCAAAACCTTTAAACCCTGAACCCTTACACCCTAAAACCCAAACCTTAAACCCCGAACCCTGCGATAATACTTTCCATTCTCTTTTCCATTATCCTAATATTACCTACCTTCACTTCTTGGGATGCAGGAAGGCAGACCGCCACCTTTGACAGAAGTAAATGCGCAGAGGCCAGGCAGACTCGAAGTTTTCAGGGTTTTGAGGTTTTGGTTTGGGGCTTAAGGATTCAGGGGTTTAGGTGTTTATGGGGTTTGGATTTTTTGTTTAGGGATTTAGGTTTTAGTGGCTTCAGGTTTCGGATTACGGACTTGTGGAATTGGGGGCTTACGGGGCTCAGGACTTATGTCAAAGTTTGTAGGTTTGGGAGGTTTAGGCTTCGGTCTACAACGAGAAGGTAGTAGGATTAGTTCTGGCCTCATGTAGCCTCTTCTAACAGTAGGGCGTTAAATGATGCTTGCAAGTCTCAGTGAGGACATGGTCGTGTGGTATGTTCGCAGCCATGCAGTCCTTACATTCTGAGGTGCAAGAACCAGGAGGGTCTCTAGAATACAGATGATTGTGACTGCGCGGTTGATACGGAGAGCCCTAATTGGTGCAAATTGCTCTATCCTAGAAAGCTCCTACATTCATCTATAGTCCCCTTTAGGTAGAGAGAATATGGGGTATATCGGAATCTTATTACAATATACCCACAGCCATATTCTATCTACTTGAGGAGGACTATACATCCAAAGGGATGCAGGTCGTTCTTGTTCCCTGGGGCAGGTATGGTGTGGCAGCAACTTGGCTTGCAAAACTGCTCGGTAGGGAAAACCCAAAGCAATGTCAAACAGTCCGATAACCGTTTCTCATTCTAGATATATCATGGATTCCACTAGCACTTCGTTACATGCCTACCTAGCAAAATGTGTGTCGCTAGTCTGGGCATAGTTTTAGCGGGCGAATTAGTTCGGATTGCGGCAGGGGGCGGGGTTTGAGGTTTCGGGTATAGAGTTTTGGGTTGAGGTTTAGGGTCCGGGTTCAGGGTATGGATCTGGGCTTTGAGGTTTTGAGTTGATGAGGGATGCAGATATTCATAGGAACGCCCAGCTTTCACACACTATTCATGACCCTCACAGCCTGACCATCAACATGCGTAATTCCTGGGCAACCCTCCTGCGCATCTCACAACAGACACTTTAACTTTGATACCCAAGTGATCCCAAGCATATCTCCCAATCCTAGCCTTAAACCCAGCCCCCAATCCTAACCCCACACCGGATGCCTAGAAATCTTCGTACAAGAACGAGCCCCGTGCCTCGAAGCCCTCAAACCTGCTACCCAAAGAAAGTGGGTCATATGGGGGATTATATAGGGTTTTCAGGGTTTGGGTGTTATGGGTTTAGGGTTTAGGGGGTTATATAGGGGATTGTATAGGGTTTACGGTTTAGGGTTTCGGGGGTTACATGGGGCATTGTATAGGAAATTATTCTACGGGTTACTGAGGGGATACTACAGACTACAGTGTACCCATAAAAAGGATCTGTACCCTCAAATTTTGGCATCAGGGCTTGTTAGCAGGTTCGAGGTTACTCCAGGTAGCGCCCCAAACCCGAGGACATGGAAGCTGCATGCGTGCAAGAAGTTGTTGAATCTCTTAATGCATACTCCTCGGCGCCCCTAGGCTCCTGCAGGATCCATACGTACGGTGCGCTCTAAGGATGTGGAAGATCCATCTGTGAACATCCAGCGGGCCCCGCCAGCACCGAAAGTTTCGCTCAGCTGTGAGTAGCCCGGCTTAGAGATCTGGCTTTAAGAGTTGGATAATTAGTACACGCCGAAGTTATAACCAAGCAACAGCGTCTGACTCGTGCTATTAGTGTTGTTGATATCACTGAGACCACTGCTTTGCGATATACCTACCTACATTCGATGGCCATGTACAGCAGGAGGTATCCGAAGTAAAGGACCACCAAGTGAGCAATAGTCTAAACACCCTAGAGGTGGTTATCTGGAGCATTATAGGTTTAGGGTTTAGTGTTCAGGGTCATCAAGGGGGAGGCCAGGAGCTTAGACAATAGCTCAAATGGGGTTGTATAAGAAAACACGCACCCGAGGATTGCATCCCGGCCCGCCGCGAAGTGCAAACCGTGCGATTTTCCTAGGGCAAACTATTACCCTAAGGGTCCAAGTGCTCAAATAGTAGATAATAAGTTGAGCCCAAATGGGTTCCTATATAAGTACTTTGGGCCCAAATGCATATCATTTGGGTACCTGGACCCTTTAGGTTACAAGAAGACGAACGATAGCAAACACCGAGAAGGTCAAACACTTTGAACACGTGAAGGGGGACATAAAACGATAACAGCACTTTGCGTAGGAATCCAGATAGTGCAAAGTAGTAGGTAATATTTACAGACTTTACGGCCCAAAGTAGGTAGTATCTATATACATGGAGCCCTCCATAGCCCTTTTATAACCGCAGTTTCCCTTTCACTTTCAGGTTTCTTTTCCATATGATTCGCCAGTATTGGTATTACTTATATACCCGGATCCCCCTGCCTGGGTCTAGCAAATACATAAATCGGACAGGGTTTTATACAAACCCAGGTGTAAAAACTGCAGGTAGTTTTGAGTCATGGAAGTTTCCGTGCTTGGGCTTCCCATACATAAGGACTACAGTTTTCGTGGTGTCTATATTACTCTAAACGCTGAACCCCTGATAGTGGAGTCCTTTATTTGGCAACTGCCTCATAGCTTATTCTACATACTTTGGGGTCTAAACCCTAAACCCTGAATAATATGGTAGGTTCCATCTTCTCCATTATGCTACATACTTTTGGGGTCTACAAACCCTAAATAATATAGTAGGTTCCATTTTCTTTTCCATTATGCTACATACTTTTGGGGTTGAGGTAAGCTCAAGCTCCAAGTTGCAAGCCCTGGAAAACCTTCCTGTGCAAAAAGGAAATTCAAACGGGAACCACTATAGTATATGGGTTATAAGTTATACAGGTTTAATGGAAAATAAATGGAAACTACAATAGTATATTGGTGTCATGCAGGAATAATAGAAATAAAATGGAAATTACCATAGTATTTTGGGGTTATACAGAGATAATGGAAATACAATGGCGACGGCTATAGTATGTAATGGGGTTATACAGGGATAATGGAAAATAACATGGAAACTACTATAGTATACAATGGGGTTATATAGGGATAAGGGATCAAGCCTGAACCTTTGCCCTGCCGTGTGTTGGCTCGCGACAACCCCTAGTACCTACGCAAAATGGTCGACTTCACCCTAAACCCTAAACCCAAACTCCTAATTACCAGTTGAAGTTTCTGCACCATAGCGTTGCTTCATTCCATTTGAAGATCCCAAGCCCTGAAGTCCGCAAACTCAAGCCCTGAAGCGCCGAAATCCCCCAACTCCAACATCCAAAATCTCAAGGTCTTTCATTTGAACGTTAGCGAGAATTTTTCCAAAATCTACTTTACATCGTGGGTCAAGCTTATGCTCAGGATGCTTGCTACTTCAGAGAACCTTGGCCTTGAACTGTTACCTAGCCTGGGATTTCAAGGTTGAGGGCTTAGGGCCTCGCCTAGAATTCAGAGCTGCTTGTGATGCAGGGGCTTATACATTACAGAGGAATAGCTAGTTTTGAAACATGAGATGCCAATGCACCAGGTCTCATAGATGATAAGTTTACGGGACAACACCCGGATCATGCAAGTCCTTCTGTGCATGACTAGATAACCCCGATATGCTATATAGCAGTTTCCATGAACTTTTCCATTTTTGTTATATAACTCCTATATAACCCCTATATAGACCCTATATAACCCCAATGTCTTGGCTAACGGCCTGCTTGTTGAGGTTGCTGTGCGCGTTGTTTGTTCGGAAGGTTTCATTCCCGATCTTATGCGCCGGAGGTGCTGTAATGTCATTCTCAAAGACTTTAAGTACTAAACAATTGGGTAAACATATTTTCCCCAATTGTTTAGTAATGTCATTCTCAAAGACTTTAAGTTTGTACCCTTAATATTTGCAACCCTAGGTTTTTGGTCCCAACTACCCTTACTAAGGGCCATAATCCGTGGCTTAGGTACCCAAACCAAAGGGGTACAAACCCTAAGGGTACAAAGGACAACTCCGTGACATTCCATGCTGTAGAAGCCGAAGTTGCTACCCCGGGTGTCCTCATACACCACTCCTGCCCAACATGCTGTTGCTGCTAAAAACCCTGGCATCAAAAGTCTGACCCAGTGTGTTGTTGGGAGCCCCCAAACAATGACAGGCTCTCCAGGCCGTAGTGTACGTGATTCAATCACGTGCTTTGAAATTGAAACCCTAAACCCTAAACCCTAGAATCCAACACCAGTATGGTTAATGTTCAGGTTTTGCCGCTCCCCCTTCCTCCATGCCGTGCAAAACAGGGGGCAGTGGGTGACTATTACACCTTCCTCCTCCGACTCCTATTCTTCCCAACAACATTGCAACTACTACTATCGTTACTACTGCTGCTGCTGCTGCTACTACTACTACTACTATTGCTACTACTACTACTACTACTACTATTACCACGACTACTACTACCACTACCACTACTACTACCACTACTACTACTACTACTACTACTACTAGCCGCCCCCCCCCCCTACCAACTATGTTTGCTTAAATTGCCAATATAAATATGGGGGAGGCGGCATTAGAAAACAGTAAGCAACATGACAACGAAGTGCTTTCCACGCAGGGTGCTGGTTAGTTCTC